ATGACTCCTTATTTGCCTTAAGAAAGTTTTTTAAAAGCTGAAGATGTGAGGAAAAAAGAACAAATCCTAAAAATGCATAATCTAATCACTTAAATATGTGTTTGCTCCTCAGTCCAGTGTGCTCTGACATAATTTGAATTTTAACTCATCCATGCAGGATGTCATGCAAAAAGGAGGAACAATGCATATACACCTATATGTTTTATATAAAACATAAAACATGAAACTTCAAAGAAAGGTACCCTAAAAGAGGTAAATTCAAAGTGGTTGTGAGTTTGGGCAGTTTTGTAGAGGAGCAAGCAAACTTATTTTCCTTAGTTCTGTTCTATACATCTTGCACCAAATCTCAAAAGTTTGACCTTGTAAGATTTTGCAGCCTGAGAGATTCCTTAGGATGAAATAATGGTAGCAATACTTGTAGAAAAAAAAATTTCATGCGCAACTGGACATTACCTTAATGCTTGAATAGCTGCATAATAGAAGGTGCATGTTTAGCCAGACACAGAAAAAATATGAATTATTTTTACTTCACACCTGTATTCTTTATTGGACCCTTTTTGTAACATTTTTTTCATAATGCATGCTATGATTTGTTGTTTTTTACTTTTTGTTTTTAAATAGCGGTGTTCTGCATATTGTGTCTATTTAATTTATAGAATTGCATGCAAACAGTGTATTATCTTTCACTATGTACTAGCTCAAAGTACAGTAATCTAACAATTGCTATAAGGATATAAATCTTCCCTTTATTTTATTCTCATTTACAGACTCTGTGGTTAAATTCTGAAACTACTTTTGTGTTGTGTCATGTGCAACACAGTACTTTAATAGTAACAAATCCTTTAATCAGTTTCTTAAAACAAAGTGCACACATAAAATCTTTTTTTCTTAAGTGCAGAGCCTTTAAATTCAAATCCTGTACATCAAAGTGAGTAGAATAACAAATTAGTGTTCAATATTTCAGCATAAATAGCCTCTCAAGAGGCGTAAAATGTAAACTGAAGGGAATATTGTTGATTCAAAGGTGACATTTATTTTGTTCTGCACAATTTCACAAACACTAAGTCATAAATAAGAGTACTAACATTTTAAGTGAGTTTTACTAATTTGGGCATGCAAGTTTGCAGAGACTTTATATCTAGTCTTACATAGAACTACTCCTTGCTTGTATCTGTGCGCTTGCTCAGACATATGATGCTCTGAAAGCATCATATTTGATGTCATGCTGGTTTTATTGGTGACACCATTGGTGTCCAGAGTACGTATTTTCCCTCTTTAGTGTTATATGAATGATACAGCCTAAAAATTGTTATTGCATTTTTTTATCTGTTTTGACAGTCTTTGCAGATGTTCTAATATTCCAGTAATTTTTTTTCCAGAAGCTGTGGATGAGTTGCATGCTCATTACTTGTTAACTCAACTATAAAATAGCAAAAGTGTTATAAACTAAGCTTGCCATACTCTCGACAAACGGTCATTTAAAACAGTAACATGAAACAAAGGCATATGCCATTCGTAATCCTACTGTAAAACTAACGAGAGACAGTTAAGGTTTTTTGTTGGATAGGTCCATTGATAGCTGATGTCATTGATAACTGGACCAAAAAGTTGAATGTTGCGTTTCCCTTGGATGGATGGGAATATTAGATGGATATCAGATATTTTAGTGTCTTTGTGAGAGTTTTCAGACATCTGGGTGATCATGAATTCTGAGTGCAGATGGGACGTTAGTCCTGAGCTGGCCATGGTGGTTATGCACCCAATGATACCAGATCCTACCACTGGAGAAAAAAAAACAACATGAAAAGTAGGAGACATAAGCAGTGAATACAAACACTAGTAATAATACTTCTTATGTGTAACATTTATTAAAACTTAACAGAATTTTGCTGTAAATTATTAAATATATAGAGAGTTCAGAATTCTTTGTTTAGTGATTACCTTTAAATAAAGATGGAAATTATTTTCACAAAAGTCAGGATTTCTTCTGAAAATATTTTTTGTATTCACTGTGTATGTTATTGTTTATGTTCAGTTTTTTTGATAGTCCAATTTTCTTCAGAGGTGTGCTGCACTCTTTTTATTTCTGTGGTATAATTTAATGACAACAACAAATTCATACCAGTAACTGACAACAGAATTTGGGTCAAGATGGCTGGGTGAGAAGAGCGCTTAATGCATTTACTTCCTGTACACGGAAATAAATGACTGTTAGAGGATAACATCAGCTTTATTACCTCTAAATTGTGGGTCAGATTAGTTCACTTCAGATTTAAAAAAACCGCACAAATTTTCAGAAAAATACAACACAGCTAAGCATAAATGCTGTGCTTGTAGTGGGAGATTGCATATTCTGAAACTACAGTGGAAAATTAACAACTTGTTTGGTTTGTCAATCACTATAAAACATACAGATGAATACAGTGGTTTATCTTTTTATCTTTCATATTCTTTTTCATGTTGCATAAATGAGATCAGGGGAACAAGAAGTCAGGAAAAAATTAATAAACGTGTTCCCTTTCACTTTAATGAGAATATCCATATGGATTAACATAACAAGTGTTTCCCTTCTAGGTTTTATTCAATTTATTTATTTAATTAAAGCCAAGGGAATATAGTTTTCAGAGCAGTCAGTTCATAATGATTATTCTTTCATGACCAAAATGCCTAAGTCATATGGATTCCAAAACAAACATCTATGGCAGGCCAAATAATGAAATGAGCACTGAGCTGAGAAATCTCAACTTGTTTATATTCAGAGAGGGAGGAAAATGATTTCTACTTATATGTAGTCCTATGACATAGAAAGATGCCGTTGACTCTTTTCGAATAGCTGTATGTCAAATTTAGCTGGAAAATATTCAAGATATATGTGTTAATACCAAGAAGATGGATCCACGATAAATCACTTTAATGAAGGTAATTTAAAGTTGACAAATTGAAATTTAAAAAACTAACGATCAATAAAAAAAATAAGTATTTTTTTTTCCATGGATGTGTAGAATTTATAAAGTTTCATACATCAGTTAAATTACTTAAGTGATTCTTAGACAATGCATGAGGCATTGATCTGCTGTCTGTGAGCCAGTGAGGTGTAGGAAATCTGGGCCTCCTCACTATTACTGCAGCCCGGAACATATTAAAATGTTACTACTACTGACATAAAAATGGATTTTGTATATTTCTTTCTACAATTGCACAGCAAAAGGCAAATTTTCGATTTCAAAAGTATACAAAGTAAGATACTCCTTGGGTTTTAATAATTGCCCGTCTGTAGATGTTGCTTAAAGTTGCATCTGCAAAACTGTTGCAGAACGAAACAAGTACACAAATTGCTGGTACTTCTAAAAATGATACTGAGCATATTGTAGAATAACAACAACATTCTGAAATGGAATATGTTACCTGTAAAATGATGCAGTTTTGTAATAAATAAAATTATATGGAAAAAAAACATATATGTGCATATGTGAGCAGCAATTACTTCAATTTACTTGCAGGATTATATACCATATAATTATACTTAGAAGATTTCAGGTACCAGATAGTACATTTTGGAATAATATATTTAAATGTTAGGAAACTCACTTTTTGGAGATCTGCTATTAAGCTATGTGGTTTGTATTCCCATGGTTTATGTCATGCTATATTGCGTTATATTGTGAAATTAAAATGTGGAAATCAATAGATCTCATAAATCTATCTTACAAGATGGAGTGTGAGATAGTTAAAAAAAAAAAAAAAAGATCTAAATGTGTATCTAAACTTCTGAGGAAAAAGTACGAAGTTAAGTCTACACAAAGAGGCTTTCTTTGGAATTGCTTCCAATTATCTGACTGGAGAATGGACACAAAATTACATCGTATTGTTCTTCCTGAATGGAAATGTAAAATGCATCATGTTTAGGTACCTGTTTTGCTGGGAAATAGAAGTTATCCACAAGGCTGTTCACTCACAAACATTAGATCAGATCTCATAGTGACAAAACAAGTATTACAAATGTTTTCAGCTGATTCAATCCTGTGTTTGAGCATATTTCTGGATCTGCAAGAAGCTATGATTCTCTCAGGGTGTTAGAGGAGTTGCAAAAGTTGGACAGGCACTTTTTTTTTAATATTTCCTCATGAAGGCTGTTTCAAATACTATCTGATAATGTATTGCACATACTAGTAGCATTGAAAACATATTCAAGTGCTGAGCATATGAAGCTGCCCTGTGGTACATCTTCCAGAGTTTACATCTTTCTGCTGTTCATCATCTTGATGCTAATTGACTTAGGAAGCTGTCTTCATCAAAAAACAATTAAATGACTGGCAAAACCTGCTCATTTGGCCTTATTTAGGAAGACTGAAACTACCTGCTGTGCCTGTGCTGGCACAGTCCAAAGAAATCTTGAAGCATAGCTAGTGCATAGCATGACATGGTTTTGAAGCAGAGCAGTTTTTTTTTGACTGACTGTTTCACTCTGCAGTCAGAACAAATGAGTTGTGGAAGAACTTTGTGAACTTCCTTGGGATGTGGAGTGGACTGTGGAGGAACACTGGACATCTGTGAATGCCCAAATCTTTGCCGTGGTATTGATATAGGTCTCTGTGTGGAGTGAAAGCCTCGCTGGAAGCACAGTTTAACTGTAGAGCTCCAGATTAAACATCATCAATTGAGTGCAACCTTACCATTAGAATTATGTAGCTCAAAATACTTCAATGGCTTTACTTTCTACTGGTGAACTTTATCCTGAAGTTAGGTAGAGATGATCTTCTAGTGTCTGATAAAAAATCAACGTAAAAGCACACTGCTGGCCCAGTGCTATAGCCTATGCACAACAGTACTGTGGCATGCCTGAGCCTGATGTGTCCTGATTTAGGAATCTATATATCTGAAACAAGATAATATAACCAAAGCCATTCCTCTCCATTCTGAATCACACTTAGAATACTTAGAACTTGTGCATAACTTCTGCGGAGTTTTTTATGAGAATCTTTTCTTCTTTTAACCCACAGGGGACTTGTGTGACTCCAACCCTTGCAAAAATGGTGGCATCTGTCTGTCAGGGCTGAATGATGACTTTTACTCATGCGAGTGTCCTGAAGGCTTCACAGATCCGAACTGTTCTAGTGTTGTGGAGGTTGGTAAGTGCAAACTTTAACTGATGGAATGGTGTGAATGCCTTGTTAATCTCTGGTTAACCGATCAGTGATTTTGTCCACTCCTTTTTGTGTAGTGTTGTCGTTGTTGCACTGGTACTGTTGTTCTGTGTCATAGATAACTATATTGTAACTAGTAGGTTGTTAACATGCATCTTCTGGGTCTATCTGCAAAACATATTCATCCAGAGTTCAGTTCTTTACTTCAGAAAGAGAAAAGATCATAATAGTAATTTAAAAGGGCTAACATTTCTCAAAGAACATTCTAATTAGAGATTTTGGTATACATTCTCGCTGATGTCAGTGATCAAATTGAACGTTTGGTTTCTAATGGCTAGGTCCAGTCAGGGAAGAGCAATTAGTTAAATAAGTAAAGTTACAGAAACCACGTAGGAGAGACTAACATAACATATAGTAGCTGCTTATCTGAATTTCAAAGCAATTATCTAGGTGGAAGTTGCAGTTAATGATGATGAACACATAGAGTGCAAATCAAATGTGTTATGATGATGTGCTTATGACTAAAAGTGAATGTAAATATGAATAGAAGCTCTAAAATACCTAGCAGTTTAGGTCCGTTTTAAGAAAAAAAAAATGAAAGTGCAAGGAAAAAGATGGTAGACAGCTCTTTATGCCATTCAGTCATTCTCAGAAGAGTGTAAGAGCTGCAAGCTGGTCAGTCTCCTATGACGTGCGTAATCAAACTCTATAGTCACAAAGTAGCTCTAAAGCAGGTATGATTTATTGAGTGCTGCGCAGATACTGGGTGCAAGGGGGATAGATCCTCCTGACTTGCACACCATCAGGAAAAATCATGCTACAGATAAAGGCTAAACCAATACTTAATGAATAGTTTTCCCCAAATTCGGATACTTATTCATTACACCCCCAAGAGTTCATTAGCATGCAGACCCTCCCCTCTTGTGTGTGCGTAGTGGGTTGTGGGATGAAGATTTGTCGTCTTCCTCGCGAAGGCTTCTGACCTTTCTCACTGTAAACTTCTGACCTTTCAGGGGGGCATCCCCCCAAACCGTTAACTTCTTGCCCTGTCGACATCTACTCACCTCCCTGCCAAATGTCCTCAGGCTGTTCTCAAACCCTTATCTTTATGGCCTTCGTCCCCCTCACTATCCCGACCCAGTGTCTGCCATTCCTTGTTTTCTAACAAGCTCTACATTCTTGCTTCTATAAACTAACTATTCCCCTTCACCTCCCTTATTCTCAGTCACTGTGAAGACTTCTTGACATTTTACTTCCACTTATGGGGCCCTTCCCACCTTTCACCTATGTTTTCCTGAAATAGCTGTAAACATTCACAAAGCAGAACAAAATATTAGACAATGCAGTTTATATAGGTGTATTTTCTACATACATCTTTGATATAGTCGTGGGAGTTAGGATAGAAGGATAAAATTCACTGAAGAGATGGCATTGTCTATCATATTTGTTCTTATTAGGAAAATAATGCTGCAGCTAGAGTGGAGGCTCTGTGGCATTACGTCCTGTCTAAAGGCTTTGCATGCCCTCTGTATGTTTCTTTTGCTGACAGCCAAAGTATTTGAAAGCATTACAACCCTTCAAGTATTTCACATCTTATGTCAATGTTTGTAATTTATCAGCCTAGGTTACACTAACATGCTTTGGCTGATGACAGCTGAGTAGAGCTCACACATTTTATTTCTGCCAGCTGTCCTGTAGGACACCAACCTTGGGCAAAAAAGCAACACCAACAACTGAGAGCACTTACTCCTACAAATATTCTTGAAACTCTAGGAGCTAGACTCAGCACCTAGCTAACACTGTGGCATTCCTAAATCTATGCAGTTTTCATTTCTTGATAAACAAGGCTATCCAGTTATATCTGAAGACACTCTTCTGAAGGCTAAGTATGTCCCTCTCTGTCATGAGATATGGCTTGCAGGACTGGATTCAGGATCCCACAGTTGCTTATCTTTTCTAAAAATGACACTTCAGTTGATCTAGAAGTGACTCGTAGGTCTCCACAATGCAATTTTAATTATGGCAGATTGGGTGGAATATGATTCCTCTGGACATAAGTTTCCCAGAAGCAAGTGTAATAGTTCCTCAAAGAGAGTGACCAATCTACTGGAGTAGTTAGACACCTATTGGACTTGCTCTGTCTGAAAAGTATCGATACAGTAGCTGGTTATTACCTAACATATGATTTGCTCAAGAATATATTTTTTTTCCTTGATACAGCCACCAAGAAACAGCTCTTGGGTCCTATTTCCCATCCTTTTGCTGGCTATGTTTATGAATGTTTGTTTGTCCTGCAGATACATACCACACTGTCCATAAAATGGCAGTGAAATGGGTTTACTGCAGAAAAATTTTGGATTTGTCAAGCACTTTGTTGGCAGAAAGTTGCACTGTACATAATGGGGAGGATGCCGAGGATGCCAACAGTGGAAGAATTTGAAGTTTAAGTGTATTGTGATAATTGCTACTGTAATTTACTGTAATTTACTTCTACGGATTAGCAGGGCTTTAAAAAAAGCACATATTCATAACTTAGTTTTGCAAACAGTTCAGACAAAATATGAATTAGGTAAACAGAGTAAAACATAAGCAAATGGAGAACTGTAAAGTGTTAATAACAGTGCTTATGCAGGCAGAATATGATGTAGGTCACTCTGAAAGCAGTGCCTCCTGTTTGTAATAAAGAGTACAATAGCACTATTTGATAGATCAAATTCTCCGATACAAAGCATTATTTTTCAACACAGTCATTACCATTAACTATGCATTAGCTCTCCACCAACACGTGTGTTGGCCAGCAGTGAAGGAGATGATTGTCCTCCTCTGCTTTGCCCTCATGAGGCTATATCTGGAGTAATACATCTGTGGCATATTACTACGGCCCCCAGCATGAGAAATGTATGGAAGTGTTAGAGTGGGATGAGAAGATGCCACAAAAATGATCAGAGGACTGGAACACCTCTCCTATTAAGAGGCTGAGGGAGTGGGGCTTGTTCAATCTGGAGGAGAGACCTCGTTACAATCTTCTAGTACTTATAAATAAGAAGGAAATCATTTTTGCATATGCCTAGGTAATGATAGGAAAACATAGAAAAAGGATCAATTTTAAGCTAAAAGAGGGAACATTTAGCTTAGATGTCACTGGGAAATTTTTCACTGATAAGATAGTGAGGCCCTTGCACAGGTTACCCAGAGAAGCTATGGATGCTCTGTCCTTAGAGGCATTTAAGATCAGGCTACATGGGACCCTGAGGAATCTGATTTTGTGTCTGATTTAGTGGTTATGAACCACACCCATGGCAAAGGGGTGGGAACTAGATGATATCGGAGGTCCCTTCTGTGATTTTTAGCAGCAGTGAACAAGAGCCTGTGTGCTGTAGTCATAAGAATCTGCAGTAGTGGAGATGATGTACAGCTGCACAGCTGCTACAGTGGCATCGCTGTTAGAATAATATTCCCACACTGTCTATCTTTCAATGTCCTGAACAGGTGAAAGTGAAAGGTCCCAAATGCAGACTATGTGATAGATGTAGTAGGAAAGTCCAGCCAAGACTGGCAATGCACTCCACAGTCTTCACATTTGGTACAGGACCAGTCATTATCTTGCTGGAAGAGAATGATTGTCTTCTTTCTTAGCCTGACTCTGGAATTTGGAGCCTTTGGCTCAATCAGTTCTGTGATATGGAGGTCAGAGTTGATGGTTTGGTCAGGTTCCAGGAAATCTAGAAGGATCACTACATCCCTATTCCAGCACACTGTACATCACTTTACCTACTCTGCACCTTTAAATTAGTCTTTGATGGGGAATTCACATATCACCACTCCACAGAGTGTTGTTTTGGCTCCAGCTCATAGTGGTTTCTCCTTGCCTCATCACCAGTAATGATGTGATCCGGGAAACTGTCACTTTCAGCCTCGTATTGGATCAATAGATTTTGCCAAACTTACATGTAGTGTTCTTTCTGTTCCTTTGTGGTCACTCATGGGCCCCACCTGACACAAACGTTGTGATATTCCAGTATTGCCACCATCATTTCTATCACACTGAAGCTAATATTAAGCTCTCTGTTTGTAATCTACGAGTTCATGAGGATGAGCTGATCAAGATGCTCTACATTTTGTGGTGTGACAGCTGTGCATGGTCACGTGGAACATGGCTTTTCTCTCACAGCACTAATGTCACTGCTGGAACACACCATTCACCACCTTACTGTGCTCACTTCCACTGGTTGGTGTCCACGAACATTCAGCAAACATCAGTGACTGTTAGTGTATGCCTTTTTTTCTACATGGAGGAATTCAGGGACACACCATTGCTCCACATACCCTTGCATGTCATATGCCATTCTGTCAGGCTGCCCCTGTGCTGTCATCTGTCATGTGACAGTTAAGGTGTAATGGAATATTGGGTAGAAAGCTTAACTTCTACTGCCACACCCCAATATTTACCTCTGGCATCCTGGGCCGACATCATGAAATACCAAGCATGTATTTTGAAGCAGCTCTCATACAGATTTTGTTTACAATTCAGAGGTAGAAGTAGAGGGAAACACTGGTTAAGTAAGAGATTTGTAAAAAAATTCCATATTAGTTTAAATACAGTGTTTAACTTATGTTTGACCTTTGTAATTATACTAAATGCATCAGTTCAGAGATACCTGTTATTTTTTTTTTTTTTTTCAATTACTATTATATTTTTAAGGGAGAAATAGAAGAAAAAGTAACTTACTAAAAACTGGCCTAGGCTAATCCAGCATTGTCTTCCTCTGCATGGTGTAAACAACTGAAAAACTAATACTTCCATTTAGTATTCAGGTTTTTTCCTATGAAGAATACAGTGTCTGGTAGACTCCGTGAATTCAAACACTGGAACATTCTAAATAAAGAAATAAACTGCATGATGGGCTTGAGAGCAACCCAGGTATTCAGGACCCTGAATGATTGCTTTTGCCTAATGTTTAGTAGTGGATGTAAGAGTGGCAAAA